TGACAAAGAATTTGTCGCCTCTAATGTTCATAAGTGTATGGCATATCTTTTAGCACAACTTAAAAAAGACCGAGACAATTATTAAAAACGAATAAACGAATTTAGATCAAACTTACCAAAACTCTAAGATCATGAGCGGCCTTTTGCTGTATGGTTTTTTCTCTATGATAAAAAAAAAGTTACACTCGTAAAGCTTGTACAAACGGTAACGGAAAGTCGTGTATAAAAGACAGAGGAAACTAACACCAATTACTTGTTTTTTAATCTATTGATAATTTCGTCCATTGTGGAATATTAGATAAGATAAAGGATTGAAAAGTCATTTATCTATAGATAGATCTTTATCAAATAGATCGGCATATTCCGAATAGTTTAATAAATGTTACGCATAAGATCTGGCGTCATCCAACACGTCGTCCGTACATACGACTGATACAAGTGAATCTAATTCCGTGAAATCTCGGAATGACATAGAACAGACATCAACCTCACAGGTCCAGACTCAACAAACTTCTACCAATGACGTAACTTTGCAAGCAAAAAAGAAAAAGTTTGTGGTTGGCACCGACGACGGGATCGAGGAAAATAGCGAAGCCCAGGAGACAAATTCACAAGAAACAGCGGAATTATCTAATAATGCAAATGGGGTAGTTGAAAATCATCGAGATACAAAAGTGAGATTTTACAAACCTTATCCCGCTGAAGAAGTAGCAAAGGTTGCGGAGGAAAGGAAAGCACAAAAATTGTCACAGCAAAAACAAATAGCTGAACCATCGGTCCAAGAGACAGCTGAGGCGGATGCCTGTACTAGTGAATCGCCCCTTCCACCGGAAACAACGACCGCCGCCGCTAATGCTGTAACTCCTGAGCAGAAAAAGCTAAACGCTGAGGGGGACACCGAAGCTACCAATGAAGAAATTAACCCCTCAAATGTAGAGTCCTCCGCATCACCTAGTAACGAACCAACTGTGAAAGATGTGATAATACCGGAACCGTATCCTCAACTTATTGCACCTTCCAATAGTCCTACTTTACGATCTTCCGATGATACTCCAATTGTTTCACCGTTTTCGAAAATTCTAGACGCACCTCTTGTCACAAGTGAGAATATGAGAAATCATGCCATCTTTTCTGATGTTCCGCCATCAATTCAAAACCACCAAAATACTCATAATTTTGATCCATACTTCACGCCACC